TAACAACCCTTCCGCGATGATGATGGCGCTATTACAGGATGCTCACTGGGGACGGCAGTGGACGGGCGGGCAGTCTTCGCGACAAGTCGCAACACTGTCTTCGTCACCACCTGCCATGGATCTCTTCGACGACAACTTCTCCTCTCTCTCCCGAGCAATGGACGCAGTAGCCCAGTAGCCGCCAAGCTCTGGATGGCATAGTTGGAGCTTTGTTGGTATTTGTTATGGTCAGAGATAGATCCACAAGCACATGGATACAACGGTAGCACTTGACCTTAGAGTATTCCAAGGGTATCGAATCACAAGGGACACATTTATATATCTAGGAACAAGATTCAACCAAGAACAACAACAAATGGTAGGCTTAGGCCAGAGAGGATTCCTAGGGATTCAACTAGGTAACTTAAGTTAAAGGTATAACTCTATTAAATGCTTCGGGCATCGGCCCTGCCCTAGTCTATTAGCCTGGAGTCCGGCCTTGAGCTTTATGATGTACCCAAACGTTGAGGGTCGATACAAAGGACGAACATAGCTATCACCACCTGTTGCCTACCTCACTTTCCGTAGAGCACAGAACAAACGAAGGTAATCACCAACTTCGACACCACGCCTAAGCTATTGATTACTACTCTAGCATCGCATAGGAACTTCCTTCTTTATCCAGAGTCATAGTACTAGAGCACTTATTTATAAACTTAGCGACAAACCCGCATCGATGAGTATATATCTCACTTAAGTAAACTAAATTAATAACATAAGGAAATCTTGAATACTTACTTGATTAGAAGAAGCATCCGCCGAGGTACGTGCAAGAAGAAGGCCGACAACTCCAGCGCTTCTCCAGAACTCTAGTGGAAGAATGCCGACAACTCCGACACTCATCCCGAACTTCCTAGAGAGAACTCCGATATTTGGGACACTCCTTCCGGAGCTTCCCCTCACTCTCTACCTAATTCCACATACTAAACTTGTGCCTAAAATATAGGTGAGTTGTACTCCACTTGTTGAGTTGTGTGTTGAGAAGTGAAACAAACTCCTCCTTTTATAGTGTGCCAATGATGGTTGGAATGGCAGGTATGGAGGTCAGTTCACCCATAACCGTCATCACCATACAATAGGAGACTGCCACATGCAAAGGAGGTGCCAGGGGCGACAAGTTTGGTTCGGAAGAATCCCTGGTTCGGCCAAACCAGGCTAACCTCACATGGCCACCAATCTTCTCCAATGCATGACAGGTGGACCCCTATGTTGGTTGAGGATGGTTTAGCCCCCAATTTAAGTCGATTTCAACTCACATGTGGGCCCTCCAATCCTTTGTACTTGCGTATGATTGGTCGGTGGTCCATTTTGTCGCATGGCGAGTGTGTTTTCTCCCAGAAATCGCCTGCATACATATTTTTACCAGAACTCGTGGAAACATTTAGTAATAAACCCCTACCACTAAGTTTATATTATATTTTGAAATATTTTTTTGCAGGAGTTGACAATTAAATTTTGTACTAAATGACCATCAACAATCTTGGGCTCCCACGATGGAGATGGAAGAGAGCAGCGTGGGCGATATAACCAAGCTCCCAAGCGGCACGGGCAGCAGTGGCATCAGGAAGCTCAATGATGCGGCTGCGGCTGTGGATCTAGAGCTCGAGGTCGCAGGGAGGCAGACGATGGGAGACCTCAGCGAGCTCACGGGGGAGTGAGGTTAGGAGTGGCCGGGACTAGCTCCAAATCCATCCACCGCTGCACAACGAGGTGTCGTCGCCGACGTTGCTCGGTAAGCAGGAGCCACCGTAGTCGCTGCTCCTCTCCCGCCGGCTGTTGTGCCTTTCCCTGTTAGTCGCTGACCTAGAAAGCATGAGGAAGAGGAGGAAGAGGTGGAGAGATGGAGGAGGAGGCAAGAGAAATAAGATGTAAGTACGGAATCCGCCTCAAATTATGAAAACTATCTCTACGAGTCAAGTGATTTCCAAAGTCCTGCTCGGAAGGGATAGAGTTTCTGTTGTACCGTACCAGATCCGATATCCTCAAATCTTTCTTGGAGGTCAAGATGATCCACGGTATAAAAGGGACCCTGAGGGAGGGGTGAAGGACATCTAATTCTATCGCAAACACACCCACCATAGTTTACGAAGCCGGAGTACGCTGAGCCAAGTCGTCGGGGGATCTCGTCGAATCCCTCGACTATGATCTCGTCGGTATCATCTGTCTCGACTACTCTCTTTGTAATCTGTCTTCATCATCGTAAATCCCATATAAACTGGACTAGGGCTGTTACCTGATAAGGGGCCTGAACCAGTATAATCTCTGCCTTTTGTCTGCTTGATGTCGTACTACATAGACCCTCGTTCCAATGTACCCCAATACTCTACTCATCCGGTCCGCGAGTATCACTTGTCAACAATGGCACGCCAGGTAGGGGGACCTGGTGCTCAAGGATCTACCAGTATGACTTCAGGACTTACCGGTAGTAGTACTAACACCGGCGTCGACCGAGGAGCCTTTACCTCGACACCGCTGGTGTGGACTAAAGTCGAATCCATTGTCTTTCCAGTCTACACCGTCACGCCAATCTCGACTGGCCTAATCACTATCGGGAACGAGAAAGGCATGGTTGCGACTCTAAGAAACGACACCCCGCCGACGATTCCTCCCACTCAAGTGGAGAACGAAACATCGACGACGCCAATACCTGGGAGGAATCCTCAAGCGGCCGAATTTTGTCCTTTACACAAAAAATCGGAGCCGACAAGGACAACCACCCTAAGGCCGAGATCTTGGTATCCCGTACATAAGACATCAAGCATACTCTCGAGGGCTGCCCAGTGATACTCCACGTGAAAGCTGAACTCTACGCCTGTTGAGAACGTGGGATTTAGCGTACTTCACTGACAGGAGCCACCTACTGCCCAATCCACAGGTCCGGATCTCACGATCTCACAAGCTGCAGGATCTTTCTTAGGACTCTTAAGCCACCGCATCATCGCGTCCAACAACCGCGCGTTCAAACTCCATGTGTTGCCAAGGAACAAGATGCAGCGACAACATCAGATCGGTTCGTTGGATATGTCAGAACTAATCCAAATGAGCCATCTGTGCTACACCTCTTGGAAGACTACGAATCCTCTTCGGAGTCACCACGAGATGTGAACGCTGTCGGCAACACTAAGGTGAGTACGTCCGTAGCAGCGAGAACACCCGCTCAGCAGTTGCGAACCCTAGATGCGATATTGAACGAGAGCCCTTTTGATCGGGTGAAAAACCTAGACGTCGACCAATAGGCAGCGCGACTGCGGGAGGCCATGATCAACCTCAACGCCGCGTTTGCCGAGGCAGCAGTCGACCCGGAACAATGTGGGAACGGAGGGCCGACTGCCGAAGGCGCAGACGGAGAAAATCCCAATGGAGCACGTTTCTCTGGTGACCAATCACCTCAGGAGGTACGGGATCCTACTATGCCACGTCGCGAGAACCGCGATCTTCGTGAACACTTGGACGACCGGCGGAAAGACAGAAGAGATCGTGACAATAACGATCATCATTGACGTTGACATCGTTCTCCTTCTCTTCGTGGGGAGAACACTACCCACCGACGACATCGTCACCGCTCTCCTTCGCGACAGAGACAGAATGACGGTCGGGGGGGAGGGGGACCCCTAATGAAGATCGAGACCGGCGGGCCCATAGTGGCCGCCGCAACGACGTCAACAATGACAACTAGCGAGATCGGGGGGCTAATCGCCAAGATCAGGAGCGGAACGGCGACAACCAAAGAGATCAAAATTCCCAATCTCCCGCTCCTGGTCGAGATCGAGGACGAGATCATCAACCGAGAAGCCGAGCTCCTGAGCCAAGCGATCCCTCATCCTTGTCCTCGTCATCCTCTTCATCAGATTAACCTCCCCGATGTCGTCATCATCGTGGGCCACCTTTCGCCCTAGGGGGTGGGTGCAGGGCATTCACACCCGAGCTCCGAGATGTGCGATGGCCTGAGAAGTTCCGACCAGGAGCAATAGAGAAGTACGATGGAAGCACAAACCGAGAAGAATTTTTCCAAGTCTACTCCACGATCCTCTATGTCGCTGACGCAGATGATAACACGCTGGTGAATTACCTACCGGCTGCGTTGAAGGGATCTGCTCGCTCATGGCTGGTCCATCTTCCATCCCGCTCAATATCCTCATGGGAAGACTTGTGGCAATAGTTCATCGCCAACTTCCAGGGAACCTACAAGCGCCACACGATCGAAGATGACCTGCATGCTTTAACTCAGAACGCAGGCGAATCATTGAGGGACTATATTCGGCACTTCAATGAGTGCAGAAATATGATCCCCGAGATCACCGATGCTTCTGTCATTCGTGCATTTAAATCAGGCGTCCGAGATCGACACACCAACCAGGAATTGGCGACACGACGAATCACATCTGCCCGAAAGCTGTTCGAGATCATCGACATGTGCGCTCATGCAGATGACGCCCTATGGCGCAAGGAGGGAAATAGCAAGGCGGGTGAGGAGAAGAAATCGACCAACAAGGACGCACCAGAGTCAAGCAAAAAGAGAAGTCGTAAAAGCGAGAAGCTGAAATCCTCGGGAGAGGTCCTCGCCGCTGAGAAAACGGACCCACCTAGGCGCCCCAACCCCCAGAGCGACGACTCACGCAAGCAATGGTGTCCAATACACAAGACCAACAATCACGCCACGGAAGATTGTTTCGTCTTCAAAAAGGAGCTTGCAAAACAACTGGCGATCGAGAGAGGGAAGCGAGTTCGTGTTGTTGAAACGGCTGAAGAAGCCGCCACCAATGACTCCGACTCTGATTTCCCGGAGTACGACCTCCACATCTCTCACATTTTTGGCGGCTCTACATCGTACACGTCAAACAGGGAGTACAAAAAAGCGGAACGTGAAGTCTGCTCCACATCACATGCGACTATGTCGGGTCTCAAAACTAATGATTCGGTAACCGACATGTTTAGACCGTATCAAGCCCTGGATCAGTAGATTGATACATGTTCAACAATCTGGATCTTCATTGCATACATTTTGACAAGGCTCCAAAGGAGATTTCTTTATATAAAATAATACGACATTTACAAGTTTGTGGCTAACTATTACAACAGAAGCTATACGATGACCCAACTCTGCCGTTTTGCTATAGAATTAAACCATCTAACTATACTAGACTCAAGGATTAGGTTTAAAGGGAACTAACTTATGTGATTGAACTCCCGACTTCAATAAGAACTCCAAAATGACTCTGAAAAAGGTGGGGTAGGGTAAAGCAAGGGTGAGTACAACGTACTCAGCAAGCTATTATATTCCATATGAATGTATGAGATAGCAGTATTTGAGTAGGGCTAGATTTACTTGCAGAAAGCGGAGAATGTAGAAGAAGAAAGCCTGTGATGGTTTTAATGCAGCAGTATTTAGTAAAATCTTGAATTAGGTTTGTAACCAAATACCATGAGTCTCAATGCTCAAATCCATGAGCATGGTTATTCGAATAGATTCACTTTCACTTTACTGCAGTAAATGTACGCTTTACCCATAGCCCACGACTTGCCGATAATCATCAGCTTCAGTCATGGCCCAACATTAGGTTACTAATAATAGTGGCACCTGTTCCATGAACTCTAGTCCTCATACGCTCTGAACGTACGTTATCAGCAGCGTGAGGAGTTCTGGCGTTCCCGGGGTATTTAGAGAGAACTGATTGTATGACACCATGTCATCGCAATTAGGGTTTACAAATAAGTCATATATGACATCATAATTTATCTCAAACCAATATTTACTTGCGCCTCGGTAAATATCACAATATTGCCTTGCTCGGCATAAGTTTGCCTCCTGCACGAGGACTTAAACAAGAACCACTGTACATAGGTACCACATTGTTAAATAACATAATAACTAGGACTGTTTGCATTCTAGAACTGTGGCCGTACTCCTTTGTTCTTCACAAGTATTTGGGCAGTCTTATATCGGTTGGAACAATACTAGCCACCCGGAAATCAACCATATCTACTGTACTGTTCCAATCTAAGTTCATTATATTTTATGCTAGGCAGGGCTAAGCAAAGCTAGCATATATCTGGTTTGCTATATGTTCAAGTTATGCATTCAAAATCATGAATGGCTAATGCATAGAATAGAAATATAGAATATAGGATAATTACGCTCAAGGGGAGGAATAATAACTTGCCTTGCTCTAATGCAAATAAATCCGAGATAGACAACCTGATTATCCGATGCTCGAAATACCACAGGTTGCCATCCAAATATAATAGACTCTACTAAAGGAGAGGAAGAACCAAATTCAATAAACGCCATAAAATAGCAAGAAAGAGATAAACGGTTAGGAGGGCTAGGGTTTAAGATATAGCCTATCTCCTTTATAGGGCATTGGGATTATTGGGCTAGTATTTCATGTATGGGTTCTAAAGGGTTGAAGGTTAAGGTGGAGAGGGGATCAAGCAACTAAGGTTGCTCATAATTTATGTGAAGGCTTTGACAGGTGAGGGGATATGATGTATATTGGATAATTGAACTGGTTCAGCTGGTATATGGCTAGTGGTAGGTTTAGGTAGTATAATACCTAAGGTTTGGTTATATGGAAGTTGAATATGGAGTAGGGTAAAATATCGGCTAACTCTATATTTTATGTGCGGGTTCTAGGTGGATGGAGAATATATGATGGGGGTGAGGAAAGTGGCATATAGGTAATATTATAACTGGTGTGGAGTCTGGATAGTAGGCTGGCTAAGGTTTCATTTGTTTAAGCCGATATCGAGGTAGGATAAATATCGGCTAGGGTTTGGGTGTGTGCTAGTCGATGCTAGTGTTGAACAACATAGCGACTAGATTTGGTGTCTTCTCTAACCGGTGTCAACAGACAGCATGAGGGTTAGAGGAATAGGAAGTTTGTGTAGGAAATGTTACTTCGACAATCGTGAGTGGCGGCGGAGCGGCTAGGATCACACAAGGTTCAAGAGCAAACTGTGTGGTGTGCTGTGGAGGTCGAGGGAATAGTAAAGCTCTGACTGTTGTACGCGTCAAGACGTAGGGTGTCAGGAGCAGCACTTCGACCTTAGGTTTGGTTTTTACCGGACTTTACAACCAACGGTTCGACGTCGGGGATAATAAACCACAAACGTCCCCATGGAAGGCGTAAAGTTCTAACCGACGGCTTTTTAGTGGCTAAAGGTATTTGGGAGTAAAAGGAAATATTTGGAATGTGTCTATAAGTTTAAATTGGAAATCCAAATATAAGATCAAATATGGAATTTGAATAATTCAAATAAAATAGAAAATTGGGTATCAAAATGTAGATTTTGAATTTAGATGAATTTAGGTCCAAGTTTCACTGGAATCGGATCTACGGTTTAGGAGATATGGGCTTCTAAAGATTGGATTTTGAATTAAATGGAGAAATTATAAAAAGTTACTGTGCTGGGGCCCACCTGTCAATCTTTCTTTTTCTTTTCTCCTTCTTCTTCCTCCCGTCTCTTCCTCCTCCTCCTCTTCGGTCGAACAGAGAGGAGGAGGAGAGGGGGCGCCGGGGCTCCGGTGGTGGGAAGGTGGCGACGCCGGCGACCGGTAGTGTTCCCGAGCGACGCGCACCCGGGGAAGTGGTCGGCCAGCGAAGGAGATGGGGAAGGAGGCCGGAACGGCGGCGACAAGGGCTCGCTTTCGGCCGGTATGGGAGATGGCGGTGGGAGAGAAAGGGGAAATGGGTGAAATAGGTTTGCCGGAGGGAGGCCATCATAGTGGCGCAAGGAAAAGGATAGAGAAGCTACGAGGGAGGAGATCGACCGTCGGCGGCGATGGCCAGACATGGGAGGAGAGAGAAGAAGAAGAGCTTAAAGCTCTGATGTGGGGAGGAGAGGACGATCTCGCCGGCTATTTATAGGCAGCGGATGTCGGTTCGCAGAGGAGGAGGAGAAGGAGGGCATGGCGACGGCGGCGTGGAGAAGAGGAACACGGCGCCGGCTCTGTTCGATGATTGGCCGGTGATGGCGGTTCGTCCCTGCTGCTGACGTCGGCGGGATGAGGTGTAGCTGACGTAGAGCGGCGGTTCCTTCGCGTCGACGGCAAGACGACGACGGCGGCGCAAAGCTGCGGGCGACGGTGGCGGCGCGGCTGTGCATGCGCGCGTATGCCACGCGCCCCCATGGCGCACGGCGGCGGCGCCCACAGAAAGAAGGAGCGGCTCGGCTTGCTTAGCTGGGCCGGCTTGGGCTGGTCTGGGCCGAAAGGAAAAGAGGAGTTTTCGGCCCAATGCGAATAGGAGAGTTTTATAATTTTGTAGGGATTTAAAGGATGGGATTTGAATTTGGAGGGAATTTGAATAGGAAATTTCGGAAGGAAAATATATTTAAAGATAATTCCCAAAAAGGATAGTTTCTGGTTTGAGTGCAATATTTTGAGAGATAGAATGGAATTTATTTGATGCACTCAAATGAGAAGGAGGGGAAATAAATGGTGAAGATAAATAGGATTTTTAGCTCCCAAGATGTATGGCATGGGTTTCAAGGAATTGTTGAGGCTAGAAGGAAATTTAGATGACAAGGATATAATCTATTTTCTTAACACAAGAGCAATTATTCACAATGTTTGTAATAATATTATTCTTGTGCCGAGAAGGAAATCAAACCATAGGAATTAAATCGGCGGCTAGATCAAAAGGAGGAATTTGGATATTTGGATCGAGAATCAAAGGATAGGTTTAAGATCAAAGGATGGGTTAACAATTAATTCCAATGAAATCGGAATTACGGCGGTTTAGTTTCAAGGGCAATATGGGAAGGTTTCTTGGACCATAATTCATAAAAGTGTTTTTAATTAAATTGAGATAAAGGGATTTTTGCAAAAGAAGGTTTAAGGTGCAAAATCAAATCAAAGTAAATACCTTGGTTTAATAAGATCAATTTTAGAATAAAAACAACGAAAGATTTTAAATAGCAAAGACAGATTCTATGCAAGTTAATATTTGGAGGTCTCTCTAATTATATTTTCCTAGGTTTAAAAAGGTTAATAAGAACATAAGAATCAGCATGATGTAGGATTAGAAAATTGTTAATTTTTAGGATGTTACAGACTACCGCCAAGATGAAGTGATCTCAACGCAAAATCGAGTTCTCGGAGGCAGACTACCCCAAGATCGCGACCACACCTGGCATGTATCCGATCGTGGTCGAACCCACGATTCGGAACATCAAGGTGGCAAGAGTCCTTGTTGATGGCGGGAGCTCAATCAACCTACTCTTTGCCAGCACCTTGGACGCGATGGGGATACCTCGAAGCGAGCTGACGCCCACAGATCAGCCCTTCCATGGAATCACCCCAGAATCGTCATCTAAACCATTGAGCAAAATCACGTTGTCCGTTACTTTTGGACAGGCCAACAACTTCCAAACAGAGCAAATCACCTTTGATGTTGCGGAGTTTGACACCGCATACAATGCCATCATTAGGAGAAGTGCACTCGCGAAGTTTATGGCAGCATCTCACTACGCTTATCAGGTACTGAAAATGCCAGGACCAAAAGGGACAATCACTATCCAAGGAAATGCTAAGTTGGCTGTACAATGTGACAAGCGGAGCCTCGACATGGTCGAGCATACTCCTAACCCACCCATCACAACTGAGCATCCCAAGAAAGTGACCAAGCCCAACAAGACGCCAAAACTAGACGGCGCCATCAAGATTATCCCGTTGTCTAGCTCCAACCCCGACAAGACGGTCAGGATAAGGGCTATACTGGATGACAAATAGGAACTCGCGCTCATCACCTTCCTCCACGACAATGCACACGTGTTCGCTTGGTAGCCGTTAGACATGTCGGGAGTTTCCAGGGAGGTGATTGAGCACAAATTGATGGTGCGACCCAACGCCAAGCCGGTTAAGCAAAAACTGCGGAGATTCGCACCCGATACACGAAGAACTCGACAAACTTCTCGAAGCTGGCTTTATCAGAGAAGTCCTCCACCCAAAGTGGCTCGCTAACGAAGTAATGGTGCGCAAAGCCAATGGGAAGTGGAGGATGTGTGTCGACTTCACCGACCTCAACAAGGCGTGCCCCAATGTCACACCCTGAAGTTCTCCTCCCAAGCCTAAAATTTAAATTTATAAATGACACTAAGAAAATGCCGGTGCAAATCAAGAGAAAACCCTAAGAAAGTAATACAAATAATAATCGAATCTGACATGTGGAATTTTTCTTGAGTTCTACATGTCGAAATTCACTAACAAGATTTTTAGTGGAATTTTCAGAGCCCTAGAAATAATTTTAACCAATTAAAATTGAGCAAGCAATATTTTAAATCCCAGGGAAATTCTTTTCCTCCTTTTTCTTTTTTTTCTTTTTCTTCCTTTTCCCTCCTTTTCCTCTTCTTGGGCCGTCGGCCCAGTCCAACCGCCGCGCGCGCCCTCCTCCTTGTGGGCCGGCCCAAGCCGCCCCTCCCTCTCTCCCCGGGACGCCGATAGGTGGGCCCCACCTGTCGGGCCCGTCTCCTTCCTCCAGCCGGCGCCGCCGCGCCCGCAACCGCCGCCGTGTCCACACCTCCGCCTTCTCCGGGCCACGTCAGCCACGCCCGCGCGTGCGCCACATCTCCCGCACCCACTTTCCCCTTCTCTCGCGCCCGAGCCCGCGCCCAAGATGGCCGGGATTCGATTTTCGAATCCTGCCTCTCTCTCCTCCCCCACTCCCCACGTTGGCCGGCGAAATCTCGCCCCTACCGACCACGTCCGGGGCTCCCCTCCCCTATTTAGGCTTCCCCGTCGCCCCCTCTCGCTTTTTCCCCATCTCGCCGAACTCCCTCGTGCTCCCCATCGCTCCCGCGCCGTGCAACCACCCGCCGCCGCCGTTTCCGTTACTCCGGCCGCCGCTAGCCGCCGCTAGGCTCGCCGCCTCACCGCGCCGTCGCCACCGTCGGGTTCGCGAGACTAAGCTCCACCCCGGCCGCCCCTTCCCCGTCGAGTTTCGTCGCCGGAATTCGCATCCCCTCGCGCTCCGGTGAGTTCAACCTCTACCGCCGCCTTCGGCCATGAATGCCGGTCGCCGTGGTTCATCTCCCTCTCTCTAATCTCTCTCTCCCTTCCTTAGGGCACCCCGAAGCCCGTCCGCCGGTTGCCGTCGTCCTCTCGTGGCTTGCCGTCGCCGTTCGCCGTCGTCTTCCTCCGCGCCGGCCACCCTCGGTGAGGCTTCCTCTCCCATCTATTCCCCTCCCTCTCCTTCCTAGCCGCCGCTTAGCGCCGCCGCCTTCGCGTCGCCTTTGCGCCGTCGCCTCCGCCGCCGGTTGCCGTCGTCGGCAACGCGTTCACGCGCACGCACCGTCGCCATCGCCGTGGCCGGCGGGCCGGCCTTGAGCCAAGCCGAGCCAGGTCACCGCCGCCCGTCCGATCAACCCCGAGGGCGATCTGGGCCGTCGGTCCAGTGGACCGGCGGTGGACCACCCACGTGGTCCCGGTCCACGGTGAACCGTCCCCCCCTTGAGTCGCTGCCGAGTGGGCCCTCTCGCCGGCGCCCCTTTCCTCCCTTTCCCGAGCCGCTGACCGGTGGGCCCCGCATGTCGGCGCCGCGTTTCCCCCCCCCCTTGATGACGTCAGCCCTGGGATTTATTGCGCAGTAAATGATTTAAGGTTTTTCTTTTATAGTAATAAACACAGTGAATCTTCTAAAATTCATAACTAATTCATCTGAGCTCTGTTTAAGCCCATTCAAGTCTCAGTAAATCAAGAAAAATGTGTAGAATCCATTAAAAATGGTTTTGTTCCCTGTTTCAATAGTCTTATAGCCTATTTGCAATGTTTGCCTTGTATGTCGCTAGATTCCGGTTCCTCCGACGCTCCGGTGTACTTCGAAATAGTCGCCGAGGTTCCTCCAGCAGCAGAGCAAGGCAAGTCATGCTTGTCACTTGAACATGTTGATCCTATATTGCAAATGCTCTATTATTTTCCTTCAAATATTGCATTGTTTTATAATGTTACTATGGGGTGTTTACCTATTGTCATAGCCATGCTATTGTTGTACCATGTCTCTTTGTCAGCTTGGGGTTATAACATGACTAGAGATTGGATGAGGAATTGCTTAGCCATGCTTAGTTCAACTAGTGCACAATGGGGAGAATCCTAATAATGTTTAGACTGTTGGCCCTAATGGTATTGTGGGACTAGTGCCATCGCCCTGGTGTTGGTTAACTAAAATAAATCACATGGTGGGCTGTGGGTGCATGGTTTTGCTGGTCGCACCCATGGCAGTTAAGGACCGGTTCGCGGGATGCCCTGGAAGAACTTATCGTACTTACCACAAGCCAGCGTGGGCAACGGCTGGGCTTGTAGTGTAGCTTTCCTCTAGCCGACGCATCCAGGCAAGGGTGGGCGTGATGGAGTTTGGATGGGCCCTGCGACGGCCTATGCGGCTTCCGGATTCACCTAGGCACGAGAGGGGACTGCCCGCTGCCTTGCGAGGAGTGGGGGTGAAACCTGAGGTGTGGTGTGCTTGGTTAGAGGGGGTTATGCGAAGGGTCCTGTCATGGCCTCTTTCCGGTATGTCGTGGTGGCATGTCGGCGCACGGAAACGTGTCGTGGGGCTGTGTCTTGTGGGTACAGTTGTACACCTCTGATCAGAGTAAAACTGTTCGAATAGCCGTGCCCGCGGTTATGGGCGGTCAACCAAATTCACCGTGATTAGTCTCACCCTAGTTTAGTCTTTTGAAATTGGATAGTATAGGTGGATGGTTGGGCCTGTCGCAACGTGGTATAGCGTTGGACAGTGGATGATTAATATTAATTAATTATTACGACTGTTTTCTTCTTTAAACTTCTGTTTATTAATGCTCTCTTTATGCAAATGAACCACTCTAGCTCTCCTTTGATAATTCCCTGCATCATACCCCTATTCCGGTATGAATTGCTGAGTACAGTGGGTAGTACTCAGTCTTGCTCTATTTTTCCCAACCCCAGAGTACGAGTTTGTGTCAGATGGAGGTTTCTCTGAGGAGTAGGCTTCGTCCGTGCCGTCGAGGATGCCTGTGGAGTGGTGTTTCCGCTGCAGTTCTAGACAAGGCTTAGCTCCTGTTGTCTTTCGTTTTTTTCGCTGCATTTATGTAAGACTTTTATGATGTTTGTAAGACGTGGATCTGAATGTCAACATTGTCGTTTGTGTACCCCGGCCGGTCCTGGACGGGGATTTTAATGCACATTCTGCTTGGAATTCTATTCGGGAATTTCTGGGCGTGACACCCAAGGACCATTTCCCTCTCCCTCGAATAGACCAATTGGTGGACTCAATGGCTGGATGTGAGTTGTTAAGCTTTCTTAACGCTTACTCCCGCTACCACCAGATCAGCATGACAAAAGAGGATGAGGAGAAAACAACGTTCATCACGCCCTTCGGTGTATTTTGCTATACCAACATGCCATTCAGATTGATAAGCGCAGGGAACACATATTTGCACGGAATCCAAGGGGCACTTGGCAATTAGCTGGGACAAAATGTCGAAGCTTACGTAGACGACATTGTCGTGAAAACCAAGACAAGCGATTCACT